ATAGAATGAAACAGAACCTTATTAATTTTCGGCGGATGAATGAATTCCACTACCTACGCATTTTGTAATTTTCGGCAGATGAATGAATTCCACTACCTACGCATTTTGCGTGTTTGGACTATGGCCTAATCCCGCGTGGAAGCAATAAGACGTGAAGAAAGTCTGAATGATTTCTGTACTAGAAAAATTTTTAAAATTTTGAATGGCTCTTACTACGAGTTATTATGTTTGACTGTACTTAGTTATGAACAAAACAAAACGAAATATCGCTTTTCTTATACCCTTATCATATACCTCTCAGGTACTGGTGCGGCCACCTAGCAGCAATATCACAGTCATAAATTCAAACAGATCGCTTGAATCAACATATTAATGTTACGATACCAGCTGCTCAGTTCAATGCTCTGGCTTTTTTTATTAAACTCTCGTTTGTGACAACAATTTACTTGGTCATCATCAAGTTGAATTTTTTTCTTTTAATACATAAGGCAAACATCTAATTGCTTTAAAAAAAATAAAAAAATCTATAGTTAGTCTTTAAAAAATATACTACAAAATAAATAATATTTTTTGGTACTATTTCCCTTAAATGCAATTCTTAAGTATAATTATAATAAACAATAACTACCTACCCTTACGAAGATGATAACACAATAACTATATTTTATATGTATATAATTTAACTCATTGAAGAATGAATAAAGTGATTTTGTTTGTTTTAAATTATTAATATAACAAAAGTAATATATATTAATATACCATAATAATATAAGACGTCAGGCAGGCGGCCGGTCGTAAACCTTTTGCCAAATCCTTTCAGCAGTACAGAGGATGTACTGCGCCGACCCCAAGTGATTGGGAAATGGGCAGGGAGAAGAAGAAGAAGAAGAATATATGTTATAAATAAGACTAACATTTCATTTAATATATCTAGATAGTACCTACTCTAAAACATTTTTTAAATTGTCCTATAGCAAAATTATAAGTTTAATCGTAAGCGATATATTATGTTAAAATTTCTAGCATCTTTTTAGTATGATTTAATATATAGTCTAAAAGATGAGAGATATGTTAAAAACATGTCACAATTTTCATACATACTGGATTAGGTTGCGACGGTCGTGCGACCCACAATGGAAATGTCAAGATTGTCGCAGGACCTTTTATCATTCAGTGAAATTGAATAATGCATTCTCAATTGAATGTTAAGAATAAGAAGTTCCTTGAACAATATTACTTACACGTAACTCGATGCCCTGTCTTGATAACTACTGCCAGTAAAACGCCTACTTAGAAATTCATAAAAGAAAATTTGAGTGATTCTTTAAACGCTCAATGCAGCTAAAGTAGATGGTTGTATGTCTGGTGCACTAATTATGCCGGAAGTCATGGGTTCGAAATTAGTTACACAGTAAAATAGTTCGCTTAGTTTTTATATGAAATACTTAACGAAGAAATAATGTTATTTTTTCTAGATTGTAGGAAATATTAAAGATGACTGAAAATGATAACAATAGACATGTCTACAGCAGAGTTTGCAGTATAATCTATACTAATATTATAAAGAGGTAAAGTTTGTGAATTGTGAGTTTGTGACGTTGTAGGGGGTAATCTCTGGATCTACAGAGCCGATTTAGATGAAATTTGGTAAGAAGATAGTTTGAGACCCTGGGACGAACATAGGATACTTTTTAACCCAGAAATCATACCTTAAGGGGGTGAAAATGGGGATGAAAGTTTGTATGGGGTATCAACATAGGGACGAATCCGAGCGAAGCGAGGGTGAGTCGCTAATAGTTGATAAAACATTTAGTGAGTACTTAAGAGTAAACAAAAGTGCATATACCCAAGTACTCCTAAAATTCTTTTTTTGAGATTAGACAAGCAAAAAGCAAACAAATTGTAATGAATATAATATAATTGGACCCAGCTATGCAAAAAACAGCCATGTGCGTAAAAGTACCAACAGAGTTATAAGCATTTTATTATAAAAAAAAATATAAAAAATAAACAATACTTATATAAATATTGTTCAATTTTAAAATAACCAGAAAAACAAAACATAACCCAAGTGCAACTATCGACAGAAAAATGATTATAACTCTGTTGGTACTTTTACGCACATGGCTGTTTTTTGCATAGCTGGGTCTAATTATCAATTGTAATTTCGCCACTTTCATTAAAAAAACAAATCACTACATAAAGTGATCTAGATCTATCGGACAAATAACTGAATTAGAAATAAGATGAATGTTAACATACCTATAACTATTTTTTAAACGCGTTACTAAAGAACGATATATCACATTCATTCAATACAGCGAAAGTCAAAAGGAAGTACGGAATGACTTTTCACTATGAGTAAATGCTTTAGTATCTCGCACTGTAATTACTAACATGCTAGGTTATAAATCTAGTTAACGGCACTAATTGTTCCCGCTAATGTTACGCATTCGGTTAAACGAATAACATAAATTATTAACTAATTGGTTACATTGTACATGTTGCTTTCTATGTGGCTTATTATAAACAAATATTATAAAGGTAAAGTTTCCCAAGGAGGGTTGACGTCAGACAGGCGGCCGGTCGTAAAACTTTTGCCAAATCCTTTCAGCAGTACAGAAGATGTAATGCGCCGACCCGAGTGATTGGAAAATGGGCAGGGAGAAGAAGATTATAAAGGTAAAGTTTGTATGTAATTTCCAAACTTGAGCAAATACCATGTTGCAGTTAACTCTTTCATGGTCAAAACTACTTTTGACTGACAAAATAGTCAAAAGTAGTTTTGGCTGTCATTAATCAAATCCTTAAAAAGTTGAAGAGGTAAGTTGGCGAAGTAAATGGTGCCCAAGCGGCGCTTCTAGAAGCCATTGAACTTAAGAATTGAATTGAATTAGCTTGAAGAATGTTTATCGTTTACAAAAAATCATGCTAATATTATCAAGTTATTAATATCTTTTGACTATTTTTGTCAGTCAAGAGTAATTTTGACTAGAAAAAGTACCGTTAACGGGTACGAGTGGTACGAGATATTACTATCTTCTAATACCGCTAGTACCCTTGAGAGTACATAGTGAGGGTACTAAAAATGAACTGGGTCTGGGCTAGTATAGTATTATATAATCTGTGGTCTGGGTGAAACTATCGCGAAAAAGGTTTTGACTGTAACAACGGAAGTTCATTCGCTAATAGAAGCTATATTCCTAATTACTACGATTGCTTTTCGTACGTTGAATAAAAAAATTGAAATGCCTTGCTCGAACTTGCTTTACTTCGTATAATAGCCAGTAATTTTACAGTAAACCACAATGGTCTCACAATCCAGGTTATTCTACTTTACAAAATCAGATTAAAATTTAATTAAGTTTTTACAACGAGGCTTTCTTTAATTTCCCATTTTCAAATACCACCATTAAGTCGGGCATCAGTGAGATCTTGCCTCATATGGACGAAGAAAGCGTAGCGTAAACAATTATTTTGTTTATTATCTAAAACCGAAATATAACTACCATTATAATATAGAATTTATTTAATTGTAATACCCCGTGCTTTGTGAATTTAAACACTGTAGAATTATGGTATGGAAGAAGCTTCTCGGCTTGCTACTAAATGTTTGGAAATTCAACCCCTAAAAGAGTTTAAAAAAAGTTAAAAGTTTATATAAAACATTATTTTTAAAGTTATAGTGCTCAACATTGAAAATAATCATTTTGATTTAAAATTACGACCATTCTTAATCATAGGTTTAGACTTTAGACTTCATTCATCATTCATTTATAGATATTCATTCATTCATTCTCATTCATTTATGGCAACCAAGTTGAATTATAGATGAAAAAAGAAACCTAGGTAGCGAGCGAAGCGAGTGGAAGTCACTAGTATTCTATATTGTAAAGTTGAGTTAATAAACAATTACAGTAGAAATAGGCGAAAAATCTAACTAACATATAATCTCCTTATAGTTTATTTTACTATAATTATTACTGCCACTAAACTCGTTGTGGAATAATTTATGGAAAGTCATACATTTTATTATTGGCTTAAAGTCTTTATTTATTTAAGAATGATAATCAAGTAATAATCCCTTGCGTTATTTACAGCGAACATAAAATATTTATTTTAATTTTCATATGCTTTTGGATAAATAATAGAGATTTTTCAGTCATCATAGATCCAATCATAATATTATTATATTCCATACAAATCTATATTAATAGTTTAAATGTGAAAGTGTGTTTGTTGGTTTGTCCTTCTTTGACGTTGACACAGAGTGACGGGTTGGAGGGATGGAGCGTGATATAAGCTACTTTTAACCGCGGGAGATTATGTCATTTCCACGAGAAAACATATAACTCACAACACCTCATCGTGCCTATGTACATATTATACCTATACATATAATAAAATTGTAACTAAGCCGAATCTGTGCATTAAATATTGATTGGAAAATCTTATTAAAATAGACATTTTTATCGATACAGAGGCAGAATCTATAGTTTTTAGAATTTTTATCTCTCTGTCTGTCTGTCTATCTGTCAATGAACTAAATGTGGCTAACTTACGTCAAATTGTCCTATTTGACGTTTGCTAACCATACATATTATGTATGTATTTAAATCATTAAAATCACCGAAAATATCCCTCGTATCTTCTTCATTCTACGAAACACGACACATGTGAACAAAAATGGAAGTGAAATTTATATCAATTCAAGAACTTTGGTGCAAATATTATATATTTATATCAATATTTTTGTTAAAAAAATTACAAAAGTGTTCAAAATCTAATGCATTCTAGGTTTAGCATTACACTATATAAAATCATTTACAACACTCGTAAGTCTTTTTGTTCGTTTCTTAATAACATGTTAAAAAAGTCTCTATTATATCCGTATTGGCAATTTGCAACCGCTCAATAAGGTTTGACGATATTTTAAGAATTCTAGATTCAAGTATCAGCTTTCATTTCTATGAAATTGTATATCTTGTTTTTATACCCACCGTTTAGTGCAGTATTACGAGTTGTCTGGTCAGAGTTGTACAAGGTGTACCTGAAAAAGAAAAAAATCTTATCATTTTTTTTATTAGATGCATATCGATGCAAAGTTAGCTTTCAATTCAACTTGGTTGCCATAAACCTATCAATATTATAGTGCAATAAAACCTATAAATAATTATTTTATTTACATTATTTGATGTTATCAAGATGATGTACTCGATGGATACAGAAGGTAGTTAGTAGTAAACAAAAGTTCCTTGAACACACATATTTCTTTTAAATTTTTAAATAATGAAGCTCAGAAATCATGTTATTCACACGTCTATTTCATAAGAAATATTTTGTAATTAATGAATGATTGTTGATTGTTTATGGATTGCTTTATATGTATTCAGACTTTATAACGTCCCACGCTGGGCACAGGCCTCCGTTCAATTCGAGGGGGATCAGGCTATAGTCCACCACGTAGGCCAAGTGCGTGTTGGGCGACTTCAAATGTCTTTCGAAAACTTGTTAGGTTTTCTCAGACATGCAGGTTTTCTCACGATGTTCACCGTAAGACGAGAGAGGGAGAGAGAAGTGGTAATCATGTTTTAAATAACTATATGAAAATATCAAATCCTTAATATGTGAGTGGTTTTACTTACATATATTAATCTATAAACTTCGATGCGCTATTTAAATGATCTAAAATATATATAAATATTAACACTTCTAGGTTAGATAACGTATATCACTATATAAGACATAACGATGCAAATTGACATTATTCTAAATAAGGTTTCAGAAATTCCTTCCTGTTATATTCCTAGTATTGTGAGTCTATCATTCAATCGATCGCGGGGTTCCTGTTATGAAATTACGAACAGATTGCTTTGTTGATCAAACAGATGATCGGGACAGCTTCCGTATGACGATGAAACATTAACTAGACGAATAACGACGAATAAGTAAATAAAACTAGCATGTATTCTATTTCCTACATACATTTTACATACATACATATATATGACACGCGTTATTTTTTTTAAATTATAGCCTATGTGCTACTCTGATGTATGGTAAGCTATACATACTTATTACTGAAAAGCTTCATCAAAATCCGTTCAGCACTTTTTGTGTGAACAAATAGTAACCATCTATTCACCCATTCTTACAATGTTTCGTACGTTTATATATTAGTAAAATTGATAAAATATACATATATCAAAAACCTGTTCCTGCTTTATATGTACTTATACCTATAGCATTATAATATTGTTTTATGAAATTGTATAATTAAATAATTTTCATTATATTAGAATGCTTTTGTTACACATCAATATTAACATAGTATTTATTGTCAATCTCAATTCATTGAATCAAAATAACGCCTTCAAGGTTTACATATCAATTGAAAACTATAATTATTTCTATACGCCTCTCTACCTTTAAACATGCCGTGTTACGTTTTAATCGATTTAGTAAACCAAATTCAGTGTTCGAGCTCTGTGGACTATGCGGCCCCATATAAAGTTACGGTCATTGTGTATTGGCAAGTACATACTAGCCATTAAAGACGTACGAGCAAAATCACATGCTAATGGTAGTATAAATTATAATATAGCTTTAAATAAACAATTCACTTCACTAGTGCCTATTGGTTGATATTCAACCGTAGTCATTATTAAAAATTATAGGAAATCATATATGAATATATCTTAGCTATCTTAAAAAAAACAATGGTTTCCAAAAAAAACATTCTTAAGCTCGTTATTAGCTACTAAAGAAAAAATAAAGAAAATAAAATCGGTTGACAAACAAAAGAAAAAAGTACTGAACTATTTGCCAATTTATGTATAGATTTCTCAAATACGAGATATTTTCCCGCAGTAAAAATTCCTATATTATATTGACACGCATCAACCAGCTATCATCGTACAAAATTTCATCAATATCTGTCCAGTGGTTTTCTTGTGTTGCGGTCATAGACAGACAGACAAACAGACAAAAATTCTAAAAACTATAGATTCAGCCTCTGTACTAATAATAATTACTATTTCAATGAGATTTTCCAAAAAAATATTTAATGTACAGATTCAACTTAGAATTTTATTATATGTATAGATAACAAACAAGAGAGTTTAAAAACAATTCGTTAGTCACTTCGGGTCAACATTCTTAATTTTTTTGCAAATGATTTAAACTGTTACTTCTAATTTATTCTAAGTTATTAATTACACGCATTTGTTAGATAAATACAAGACATGGTTTGAAATAATTATTAAAACCCAAACAATAACACATTATTCTATGTCAAAAATTAACTGTTTCTATGACTGTTTCATAGATATTTAGCCGTTGCTGTTATTATTAAAATAAAAACAACAGATATTGAAAAAATAATAAAGAAAATGAGTATATTTAGTTACCAGATTTCATAACAATTTTAGCAATACAATAATTGCTACGATAATTATTAGTATTGAACATAGGTAGATTTTAAAACCTAAATTTGGCTACCTATAAAAATATTAAAAGAACTTTAAAATGTCGTTCCCTAAAAAACAGATTTAGTTTATAACTAGCATTGCCCGTGTTTAGATGACCAAAAACCAAATTCTTAGGTTTTACAATATATGAGTAGATATACTCTTACATTGCAGGTTTTGTATTTTTTCTCAGAAATGAGATATTTTTCCGCGGTAAAAAGTATCCTATATGTTGACCCGGATAACCAGTTATCACCATACCAAATTTCATCAAAATCCCTCCTGTGGTTTTTCCGTGATGCGGTAACGGACAGACAAATAGTCATAATTTCTAAAAACTGTAGATTCGGCCTCTGTATCGATAATAATGTCTATTTCAATAAGATTTGCCAAAAAAATTTTATGTACAGATTCGGCTTAGTTACAATTTTATTATATGTAGGTATAGATAAACGATGTGAACTGCAATGCAAAATCAATTTACTATTTAAAACTTTTGAGTCACATTAAAATTCTTAATTTAAATGTCATAAACATGTTTGTCAAACGTCAAATTTTGTTTGAGTCGTTTGTTAAAAATAATTTTAATTCGAAACCCTTAATAAAAAAATTAAAACATTTGAATCTTATTATTACTATATAAAATATGGTTTGTTTGTTCTGCAAGATGTCAAAGAAGCTACGCGAATTATATTATTTATATATTTTGTAATGGTAAAAATTGTATGCAAGAAATCATACTTCGTCGGTTTACTTGTCACTATTCAATACTATATTCATGGCACTCTGACATTTGTCATCGGAAACGACCCGTTTGGCTCAGTTGGTAGTGACCCTACTTGCTATGCCAGCGGTCGCGGGTTCGAGTCCCGCTGGGGGCATTCGTTTGTGTGATGAGCACGAATGTTTGTACTCCAGTCATGGGTGTTTATATTTATAATATGTATGTATTTAAAGTTTATATATGTGTAGTGTATCAACTATCTGGTATCCATAACACAAGCCTCGTAGCTTACCATGGAACTAGATGGCGCTGTGTGTTAATGTCCCAACATTTATTATTATTTATTATTTTATGTGTCTTGTTCGATTTCACCAACATCAATCTTTACCACCTACGTATGGGATCCCTAGCTTAAAAGTTCCCCTCAACTAGCCCATTAAATAAATTTCGTTTACCATCGTCAGAGCTTGTATTTCTAGTACCTATATTTAGATGGCATTTTAATATTTTTTTAAAATTTTTAGGTGACCCCTAACTGTCGGTGAAACAGAAACTGTCCCCTAACAGCCCCCTAACCATGCTTAGGGGATCCCTTAAACTTAGGCGACGTTGGTGAAATCGGCCATAAGAGTTTGGCGCTAGTACCTATCCCTCCGTGGGCGTAATTCATAAATCTATTTTAGCGAAAATTTCTTTAAGAAGCATTTATCTTTATCTATCACTTCGATGTTTGTATTTGTAAGAAAAAGAGAAAACCTGTTTTAACTTTTTTCATAAGGTGGTACATAAGACTGTCTGACTGCACAGGATATAAAACTTATTAAAGATAAATTGAAAAACTGAGACTAAATTGAAAAGAAGAGCATAAATCTGTACATATTATAATAAAATTCTAGCTTAGTCGAAATTGTACATTAAATATTTTTTGGAAAATCTTATTGAAATAGTCATTATTATCAATATGGAGGCCGAGTTTATAGTTTTTAGAATTTTTGTCTGTTTGTCTATCTGGGAACACATCACGAGTAAACCACTGGACAGAATTTCATGAAATTTGGTATAATGATAGCTAGATATCAGAGTGAACATATATGATACTTTTTACTGCGGGAAAATATCTCATCTCTGAGAAATCTATATTAACCGTTAAAACGTTCTTAAGTACGAACCCGAGCGGAGCAAGGGTGAGTCGCTAGTAAAATTATATATCTAATTTGGTACGTACTATTCAGAATACCCGTTAATTCTGTCACACAGAATAATAGCTTATTCATCTAGCTTATTGCTACTGATTCATAATTTTACATTCATCATTGAGATAAAACAACATTTAAGTAAGTGTCACCCATCAGTTATCGTTATGACATCATAAAAAGATACTCGTACTTTAATAAAAAAATCTATGATATTAAAATGGAAAAAATAATTCACAAAACGCTATCTTGATATGAATATATGTATATGTGCATATATTGTATAGGTATTCCTTATACTATCTTATTACCTACATAAAATTGAAGTGTCTCTGTTGTGCTCTTAAGGTCATTTGTATGATACTAAAGGCTTAAACAATGATATCCCAGTGGTAAAGACATGTGAAGTCCACCAAACCCGCACTAAGTCAGCGGGGTTGACTTTGTCATGATTACTCTCGCAATTTTCAATGCGAGGGAAGCCCGAGCTTAGTGGTGGGACGTTGAAAATGGTAAAATGAGAATATCTTAACAAAAAAATATATTATGTCTTATTATGCACAATATTCTAAATTATTAACGAAAATAACAACAATAGATCCACAAATTTATCGCGTGGTATTATAATTTATTTGTATATATGGGATGATTCCCTAAAACTATA